TCACACCGCTCTGTGCATATAGCCTATTCTTTCGCGCGAAAGGGAAACACACTGACGTCACATACGGGGCACGAGGCTACATTGCGCATGTCATGAACCGTCGAACCGTGCGACGCATGCATGCTCTGAACCGAGACAAGCGAACCGAACGGTTTGGTTTTTTTTCATGAACCGTGCCATCCCTAGTAGATAGTTCCTGAACAATCTTGAAGTGTAACTTTGGTTGGTGTTACGTTTCTGAAGAACGAAGGACTGCCCAATCAGCCACAGAATAGCAACCCTGTGAAATATTCTATAACTAAGATTTCCCAGAGTTTCGTATCCCCAGACCATAATGCCAGCAAATCCATGCTTGACAATGGAAACTACCCATGAAAAACCCATGAATTCACCATGTCTGAATCTATAAAAAATCATGATATTTGTACCGGATATCCTCCACTCTATTGATATATGAGATCCACCCATTAACACTGACATCATCTTCACTTTGACTTTGGTGATCCTTCACCATTGATTGTCCACCAATGGCTCCTAGGGTTTCTGCCAGGGCTAGTATTGACTGCCTTGTGGTCACAGCTCTCATCTGATGTTGAGAAACTGGTTAATTCAGACATATCTAAGTTTTACTCAGCACATCTGAGGTGTTCTCTTGATTGTAGGAATTGTTGCACAAGAAAGATGGGAAACCACTATAAGATGTTCTTAAATTCACCTGCCCACAAATTACTATTCAGGGTCTACTCTAAAATAATCTTGTGTTCAATTACAGTGTTTGTTATAGAATTCATAGCTAGAACAGAAGTTCAATAACAACTAGGTACTTGGGTTCACATACAGGAAGCTATTCTTCTCAGTCACATTCCTCAGAATATTTTCATAATTCCTCATGTGAACACTGAATTCCCCAGTTTGACTACAGAATACTTATTGTACATCCTGTACAGTACTCATTCACATTACCCACTTTCCCCAATATGGACAAGCATCGGTCAGAGTTTTCCTCTTCATAATACATAGCACCATAAAGCCTATTACAAGTCCACCAGAAAAAAAAATCCAGCTGTGTGATCTTCAGCCGGGCACTTAAGTATTTGTAAACCTGCCTCTGCGGCTTTTCACTTAGGGAATCTGCAGCAGGAGACTGACTACTCTTGATCAAGTAGTTTGGTCCCAGGCCCATGGGAGTAAATTACGGGGGTGGGGGGCCTGTAGCCCCCCCAATAAATCAAAACCAGCTAATACAACCCCCCCAATAATCATGTTTCCCCCGTAATGGGTGGAGACCTCAACCCCCCCAATGTTCCAGCCAAAGTTACGCCCTTGTCCAGGCCTCATTGTATTTGTGGAGGTAAGGCTATCTACCCATTACCTTTCCATCTCTTCAGCAAACCAGGCCCTCTCCATGCCACAGAAGTAATATTCCTACAGTGGAACTCTCCCACTCATGCTTCGTCCTTGATAGGTATTGCATCTAGCTAACAATAATTGACACTTCATTGATCAACATAGGGAAACCTTCTTTACACCACATGCTCTCTCTACATGAGAGCAAGCTGGCCACAAAGGGCAATTACCTGTTGCAGGACCCAGAGGCTGGGGGTTAAGGGCCATGTTCATAGACCCATAGATGTGCTGAGGTTGGGCTTGAACTGACAACCTTCTAATCACAGGCATAGAGGCTTAGCCCACTGAGCTACACTTAACATTCCAGGTTATAAGCCCGCTAGATGTGATTCTGGGCTGAACCAAGCTGGTTACTAGCAGACATCATCCCCCAGGTCAGGCTCCATTCATGCATTTTGGTAACCTAAATCTGGGAATGGTGCACTCCTTTAACCAAAGCAAAGAGCTCTCAAACACAGTATCGAAGTTCATACAGGAACACAAGCCCTACCACTATGGCATGGCCATAATCCATGAAGGGAAGCACAGAATATAAACATGTTGTATGAACAACACCATATCAAATAAACAAGGTATATGATTTTTTTTTACTAAAATGTTCTTTGCCTGTGTAATATTTGAAAATTTTCTCACTGATGTGACATATAGCCTCACCTTGAAGTATTCTAAAAGCCCACGACATGTTATGTTGTTTCCATTGATCTCTTTCACATCCAAGTTCTGTGGACTAAGAAGCCATGGGACCAGAATCTTCAGGTTGTTGATGAACTCCTTGTCAATCTCTAGGCCACAAATCAGGAAAAGACAGTATAATTTGGCAGACCATGGAGTAGTTCGAAATGGCCTTACTTTTCATTAATAATTAGAATTCGAATTAGACTTTAGTGATCAGTGTCAACACACCACAGCACACAGTGTGCAACAACGAAATGTGTCCTCTGCATTTGACCCATATGTGACTTTCGTGACATAGCAGGGGGCAGCTAATTCAGCGCCCGGGGAGCAGTGCTTGGGGGCGGTACCTTGCTCAGGGTACCTCAGTGGTGCCTTGCTGGTCAGGGATTCGAACCTGCAATCTTTCAATTACCAGTGCGCTTCTCTAACCATCAAGCCACCACTGCCCAATATAATCCAATATAATACAATCTTTGTTTATAGTAATATCTAAAGTAATATTTAAAAAACAAAATCATACTTTATTGTTTCAATTAGTAAAATCCCTTTTATTTTGGGTTTCAATGGGACCACTGTTTCAATATTCTCACCTTTGAGTCTTCCATCAAAATGTGGGTTTGTGGCTACCTTGAGGCCAGGGTGGGGCATGAGGAAGCAGGAGATGTTGGTAAAGCAGGAGTGGATGTGTTTACGGACATTTTGTAATTCCTCATGCTGGTTCTCTGAAATCTATATATAAGGATATCATCAGTGGATTTTTTGTTATTTTATCATCACACACCATCATAATTCCTATTTAAATTAGATGAGTGTAGTTCATCTTTTAGATTCCCTGGAATGATTACCTCACCTTCAGTCTCTTTTCCAGAAACTTCATACCTCCTTCATGTCCATAAGGAAATTCATAAGGAAAGCTCCAATCTCGAACCAGGAAGATCAGAGACTAAAAGACAGATTGATAGGTCATTTCGTTAAAAAATAAGCCATAAAAAATAGAAGATAGAGGAGCCTCTTTAAACCAGAAGAAAACATCAAATAAAAAAGTATAAACTTATCAAATCAAATTGAAAGGATATCCAAATTAAAACCAGGTTATTGAGATACCTGAAAAGGTTTTAGGAAAGTCTCTTCCATGGCTAGCCTGCCATATTCAGTGAAGAGCTAAAAGAAAAGTTTTGTCAGATGTAATTTTTGCAGTAAAGTTTGCAGTACGATGTATAGAGCTTAGGTGTCTTCTAAATTAGGACCCTAACAAAAAACACACATACAAATAGTACCTGTAAATGCTGGAGATCATCTTCCTGTACATTCTGAGAGATGTTGTAAACCTGGAGACCATGTAAGACATACACATTTTGCAGGCAAAATCCATTGCTGAGGATGAATAATGTCCACATGCATTATATGTTATTTGAAGATGATATATCTGTGTTGTCATTTTGTGCATTTACGTGTGGGTGTGCTAGAAGGAGAACGCATAGGGCTGGGTGATCTCATGCCTCATGCTTGCTTATTCATTAATTAAACTGAGCTGCCCCTCAGCGGACAAGTTGCATCAAACAGGGTTTACTGAAGTACACCAGGTCAAAATAGAAGATGATGCTTTAAATTTGCTTTGATTCTCTGCATTCACCATGTTTCTTTTATAAGACCTTTAGGTCTATATTTTGCTGGTTTAAAAAAGAGGCCTGAACCCAATTTGTTTTGATCTCCATATTTTTCATAACATCACATTGGCAGGTATGGAAGACCTCAGCCCCACAATCTGCAACATCATTTTGCTGCAGAAAGATTAATCCCCTTCTTGTTCTATAAATGTAATTTTCTAATATTATAATACAGTGGTACCTCAGAACTCGAATTTAATCCGTTCAGAACTCCGGATTGAATGCTAAAAAGTTCGAGTTATGATCGAATTTTCCCCATAAGAAATAATGGAAAACCAATTAATTGGTTCCGGGCCCATCTAAATATGTTTTTTTAGCATTTAAACACAAAATGAACCAGATAAAACAAGAAGAGCATATATTGTACTAAAAGTACATTTATCAAAACAGTAATTTGTAAAGTAAGAAAATAAATGTATCCAAAAAATGTGTAAAGTTAAAAAAAAACAATGTAGGTATGTCGCAAAAAATTTCAAAGTTGTTTACAGCACCAGAAGAAAGGGCTTGATAAGACCTTTCCAATGATACCAAGAACTTCTTTCTGTGATGAATGGCAAGAAAGTTATAGGATATTTTGTAACGCCAATTAAGGCTTATTAACGTCCACTTAGTAACAGTTAGTAACAGATAAAACAATGGAGAACCATACTTGACTTTGTGACCTGTTTATGGTGTTCAGAAAAATGAGCATAACTCT